GCTCATGGGTTCCAACTAGATTATCAGTAATCCTGGATCTGCAGCCTGATGACCCAACCTGCAGATTTTGGAACTGCCAGCTTCCCAGAATCACATGAGCCAGTTCCTTGTAATGAATCCTTCACCCTCTTTCTCCCCCATACATCCTGTTGGTTCTGTTTCTCTGGAGAACCCTGACTAACACATGTCCTTCCTTGGGTCTTCTGAGTATTTTGTACCTGTGATTTTATGCTTTCTTATTTTTAGGAAATTCTTGACCATTTTGTCTTCAAATGTTTATTCTGATCCATTCTCCCTTGATTCTTGTTCTGAAACACTAACTGTATGTATATTAGATTGTTTGATGTTGTCCTGCAGTTTTTTTGATAACTTTTAGTTCCGTATTTTTTCTTTAACTTTTCTCTCTGGTTAATTTATGTTGCTTTATCTTCAAGTTCACTAATACTTTTCTCAAGTTACTGAATCTACTGATAAGCTTGTGAAAGAAATTCTTTGTCTTAGATATTGTGACTGTGAGCATGAGTTTTTATTTATATTTCCCATCTCTGATATTTCTCACATATTGATGCATGGTGTTTACCCTCTCCACTAAAGCATTTATTCCAGTAATTTTCACTGCTCTTTAGTCAAAGACAACCAGGAACATTGATATTGGAAGAAGTTAATTTAATTTAATTTTATTATTATTTTTTTGTACATGCTTGGTGGGGGCCTGCAGAGAAGACCTGGGGAGTGAATGCAAACTCTTTTATTCTAGGACTTCATGCTTTTCCCAATAACTCTCACTTGGCCTTTAAAATTCCTTAATTTTAAGCTGATTTCCTCTTTTATTTTTAAAATTATACTTTAAGTTCTGGGATACATGCACAGAACATGCAGGTTGATTATGTAGGTATACATGTGCCATGGTGGTTTGCTGCACCCATCAACCCATCATCTACATTAGGTATTTCTCCTAATGCTATCCATCTTCTGGCACCCCATCCCCTGACAGGCCCTGGCATGTGATATTCCCCTCCCTGTATCCATGTGTTCTCATTGTTCAACTCCCAGTTATGAGTGAGAACATGCAGTGTTTGTTTTCTGTTCCTGTGTTAGTTTGCTGAGAATGATGTTTTCCAGCTTCATCCATGTTCCTGAAAAGGACATAAACTCATCCTCTTTTATGGCTGCATAGTATTCCGTGGTATATGTGTGCTACATTTTCTTTATCCAGTCTATCATTGATGGGCATTTGGGTTGGTTCCAAGTCTTTGCTATTGTGAATAGTGCTGCAATAAACATTAGTGTGCATGTGTCTTTATACTAGAAAGGTTTATAATCATTTGGGTATATAGTCAGTAATTTCTTCCTGTCTGTATGGTGAACAAACATCTCACACTCTCTGCCCGCGGTGAAAGAAAGATGCTCAGGCATCTCATCTACGTTTGAAGTAACTTGGTCTTCCTTGGTATTCAGATTTCTTGGATGTTTTGAACCTTGGTTCTCTGACAGACTCATGAAAGGGTATAATTTTGTAGATTACTTGGCTTTTTAAGTTGTTAGAGTGAGAAGAATTTAGTTGCTGCTTTCCAAATTCTGTGTGGAAGCAGAGGTCCCGTATATCATTTAAAATCCCACCCAATACTGTGGTTTCAAATGTTTCTTTTCTGGATAACTCTCCACTCACCACTGCAATATTCTTCTGGAGTTTTAGTTTTATGCATTAAAAACGTAATGGAACCTCCGAATCAGTGTACATATAACCGATCTTATCCACTGAACTTCTACAATATTCATCTTTCCGGTGTGTCCCCTTCCTTTCTATCTCCTTTCTTCTCCTTTTTCTGTCTTTTTTTTTCTCTCACTTTTACTTTTTATCTTTGTCTTGTTTTATCATATAGGCTCAAAACTTGCAAATTCAAAAGGTCTCAGCAAATAAAATGAATTGTCAAATCCAGATGAAATTTCACTTCCAATAACTTTTATTTTTAATGAACTTTAAAATTTATAATTGACAAAAATAATTGTACATATTTATGTACGGAGTACACTGTGATGTTCCAATGCATGTATACATTGTAAAATGATCATATCAAGGTAGTTAGAATGTCACTTTAAAAATTTATCATTTATTTGTAGAATAACATTTAAAATATTATTTGCCAGCTATCTTAAAATACATACTATACTGTTACTGCCACAGTCACCCCACTGTGTAATAAAACATCAGACCTTACTTTTCCTGTTTGTTATTTTATATAAATCAACTAACCTCATTTAATTAGTCTCCACTACCCTGTTCAGCCTCTGATAACCACTTTTCATTTACTTTTTACTTCTATAAAATAAAGGTTGTTTTTTTTATTCTACATATGAGTGAGATTGTGCAGTATTTGTATTTCTGTGCTTGGCTTATTTCACTCATTTATTCATCCATGTTGTCATTAATGGCAGGATTTCATTGTTTTATTTCTCAATAATATTCCATTTGTGTGTGTGTATGTGTGTGTGTGTGTGTGTGTGACATTTTCTTTATGCGTTCATTTGTAGATGGGCATTTAGGTTCATTCCATATCTTGGCTACTGCAAATAATGCTGCCATAAACATTAGAGTACAGATACCGCTTTGACATACTGATTTCTTGAAACTTCTACATCTCAATGAATGGAATGAATGGCCAAATCCAGTGGAAACCACATTTTCAGTACTTTTAAAATACATTCCTTTTTCTTCTTATTTCTGCCACAGACTTAATGAAGAGCTTCAATGCTCTCAATCATGCTCTCTGGAAGATGACTAATAAAGTTGGTAAAGTGAAAAGATAAATCTGTTCTTTCATTCCATGTATAACAAGCTTAAAAACAGAAACTCTGTAACCAGACAGCTTAGATGTGATTCCTGACATCACCTTTTAGAGTTATGTGGTATTGAGCTGCTGTTTCCTCAACTTTGTTAAAGGGTATTACTACAATCACTTCCTGAAGTTATGAGAATTACATAAGTTAATATCGTAAAAACATTTACACGATTGTCCAATACCTAATAAGCATATGTTAATTATTGGTATTAAGTATAATTCATTCATGTATTCACTATTTAACAAATATTTTGTCAGCAAACCATAAATTCTAGGTACTCTTTTAGGACTCAGGGATACAATTTTGAGGACAAATAGGCCCAATTCCTGTTTTTATGCAATTTACAATGTCAGCATCATGGTAGATCTGGATAATGTATTATAAACTCACAACACCACATGCTAAATAGCAACTGTGATAAGTGAGAGAGGCTCCATGGGGTCAGAGTGAGTCAAAAAATTCTTTTGGGGGAAAAGGTAGTTGAGCTGAGATATGTAACATAATGTTTTATTGACATGAGAGTTAAATACACCATTTTTTCACCTTGACCTGAACAAATAGCAGGTCATTGGAAACTGCTTATTCACACCATTTGTTTTCTAATCGATTAGGATAAAAAGAGAGATAGTAAAACTTTTCATACTAGTTAACTTGACAAATTCTGAATGAGTTTTTTGAATGCATTATTAACCAGATATTTTTAGGCGTATGTCAGTGCATCATTTTACCTAATGCTCACCTATTCCTTTCTCAAAGAATGACTATTTTTGCTAATTTGAAAGAGAAACAAAACAACAAAAAAGGAGATAGCAACCTTGACTAAAACATTGCCCAACAATTTTGACACCATAATTTGAAAACCCCTCCAAAAAAGTAAATGATTCTGGAATTCTGCAGAAATTTTAAATTTTGTGAGACAGCTATTTATTTAGACACATTTTTGAAGCAGATTTAATTTTCTTCCAGAACACTGTCCCCAAAAGATCATAAACAGAAAACTATATTTTAAGATTCTGTATATTCAAATAGCTTATTATTTTAAAAGAAAATTTTGTCTACAGTGTAATCAGGGTTTTGTATCTAAAAGGTTTTATTTTTTTAAGAGGAAATTTAGTACAGATTTTGGCTGCAAGCATTTGCTCGTTCACATAGACAGGGTTAGGTTCTCTTTGCATAATTGATTAATAAAGATTAGAAACTGATGTCTGAAATTTTCAGTGTGGTTACTATGTTATGATTGGATCATTCTGGTTAATTCACATAAAAATATCCTTGGAGGGACAAGTGTGTGTTTTATTGAAAAACAACTTCCATTTTTAATGAATCTTCCAATGTTGTAACAAAACTTACTAAAGTGGAATTCATAAAGTAGAGCCAGATGTGTAGAGGTAAAGCAAAATAATTTCCATTCTGCAGGCTTGTTCACTAGGTGTAAATTTTGTGGAAGGATGACATTGCAGTCATTTCTTACACATAAAGTAGATACAAGATAATGGCAGGACTACAAAGTGAGCAAGGACATGCTAGTTTGTCAGACCTTAGAGCAGTCATTTATACATATATTGTGGTTTCATTCCTGGGGTATAGTGTTTCCTGAGCCTTCAGAACACTCTCAAGAAATATTAGCATTTACAACCAATATAGTTTCACAATGAATACAGTCAACTTCTGTGGCTGAAAAGGGGCAAGGAAAACATTTAATCATGGAAAAACTTTAGGATGTAGAAATAAACACAGCTAAAGGCATGTTTAGAAGCTTGACTAGATCTCAGTTTATGAAGGCACATTTAGGGAAAGTAAAGTAAAATTTGGATATTTCTTCTTAGGGATTATAGATTAAGGAAGTAACTCTACAATGAATACAAAAACTTTTAATAAGCCATGTAAGCATTTATCAATTCCCAGGATTCTGTAGGATTCACTTACTAGTTATAAGTGTATAACTGATTTTTACTTACTGTGAAAGCTGTTGTTAGTAGTGTGTGATTGGTAACAACAATATATATCAAATAATATTTAATATAGATCTCTGAACAAATTAATTGGCATGTATGTGATGCAATTTGTTTAAATTTGAAAATGCTGCATTGGCAGGCTGCTTAATGCTTTTTTGAAACTATTCTTTGATATGCAAATACTTTACCTAAAATATAGAGATGTGAACTCTGACACTCAACATTTTTTTCAGGTTTACTCAATTTTAAAAATATTCTTCATGTGTAAACCAATTTCAACATTTTGTTCATCGCCTTTTTTACATCTTTGTTCCTCAAACTATAGATGATGGGATTTAGCATGGGAATCACAATTGTGTAAAATATTGACACTGTGATGTCATGGTCTGAAGCATAGCTGGAACTTGGTCTCATATAACTGAAGAGAATTGTTCCATGATAAATTGTCACTCCAGTTAGGTGAGAGCCACATGTAGAGAACGCCTTTTGCTTTCCCTCAGCAGAATGCATCTTCAGAATGGCCAACAGAATGAAACCATAGGAGATCAAGACAATCAGGATAGTAACTATCTCAATAGAGCCCACAAAGTAGAAGAGTAAAAGCTGGTTTGTGTCAGTGTCAGAACAAGAAATAGCAAGGAGAGGAGGAATATCACAAAAGACATGCCTAATTTCATTGGCTCTACAGAAGGACAGGCTAAATGTAGCCACTGTATGGATAGTAGCATGTAAAATGCCAGCAATGTAGGAAGCAATGATGAGTGGCACGTAGACTCTGGGTGACATGCGCACTGAATACAGGAGAGGGTTGTAGATGGCTACATAGCGATCATAAGCCATTGCAGCCAAGAGAAAGCATTCTGTGGTTCCAAAAGTAACAAAAAGAAGCATCTGTGTTGCACATCCAAGAAATGAAATGGATTTATTTTTTGCCAGGAAATTGACCAACATTTTTGGAGTGACAACTGTAGAATAACAGGCATCCAAGAATGATAAAACACTAATAAAATAATACATGGGGTTGTGGAGCCAGGAATCCTCAATGACCAATACAACCAGCCCAAAATTGCCTATCAAGGTAAAGAGATAGATTGCAAGAAATAGTAAAAATAGGAAGACTTGCAGCTCAAAATCATCTGTGAAGCCTGTCAATATAAACATGGTGACTTCAGTCTTGTTCTTCAGTGGAATCTTGTATATATCCAAACCTGATGACAACTTGTTCATTTCAGTTTTTACTTAGATTATAAATATTATAGCCTGTGAAAATGGAGTCCATTCAGTCGTATCCTTGTTTTATTTCTTAGGGCATAATAATTTCCCTGGTAGTAATGGAATAGACTATGATGAAGTAATTGGAACCAAAGAGATGAATTTCACTGTATAAGTAAAAGGAAAAAATATGTAAATTTATTGGCTAAATTTATCATGTTTTTAAAAAACCGTGCTAATTAAAGTGATTTTATTTTCCAGTTAATTTTCTGCTGAAATTTTTACCGCTTGCTCTCATATTATGTCCTAAAGCTCACAAAGATTACTGAATGTAGAAATATTTAAAACTAAATATGTCATAGTGGAAAGCACACACTTGAGTACAGTCTTAGATTTGTGATGAAGTACATGAGATGTCGTTTGTAAATGTTCACAATTTTTAAAATAGGAAAAACCACACTCACAGCACCGTTCAATTTAAGTTTTTAAAAATATCAAAATTACACAATTTAAAAGGCTTCCAGATGACTAGAAAATGGGGATAAGTCAGACATACATTTCAACTTGTTGCATGCAGCAGCCTTTTCAAATAAAACAATTTCACGTACTCTGTTCTGGCAATTATCTTGTTCCATTAAATAGAAGAGCAGACCATATTCTAGAGATAGATGTAACTTCTTTACAAACAGTGCAATATGTTTTATTTTCAGGACTTTTTCTTCCTGAAATATATACCACCTAGTTGTCAGTTTTGGCCTCTGTATCTTATTTATCATAACTGTTTTTAAATTTCAACCTAATAACAATGTGAGATGCATCTTACTAATAATTCATACGTTTGTCATTTTTGCAAAGTCCTTGGATGTTATTTTAAAACATATTTCTGTTAAAAATAAATCATTGCCATTCTTTTGCTATATTATAGTTGCTTTTAGAGTTTTTAAAATTACTATGAAATTAAAAATCACCAATAATAACCAATAAAAATTATAGAATATCTGGCTAAAAAAATAACATTATTTGCAAGAAAGTAGTGTTTGATATCTGGATTTCTTTCCTAATATTATCATTCTGTTTCACATTGAGGAGTATGAAGAAAGACAATTACGTGACCAAAAATAAATAAATAAAAGAAAATAAGGTAGCAAGGTTAAAGGGACTCCTGTATCTACACTGAAAACCTGTTATTGAAACAGTTTAGTAGTACACACACTAAATTTAGGGGTAAAATTAGAGGGGAGATTTAAGCAAGGTAATTTAGTTTTTCTTTTAGCATGTCATAGATTGTAGAGTTATCACTCCTTTTAAAATTTTCACATATGTAGGTCCAGACTGAATTCATTGACTTACAAATGATTTGTATTCATGATGTGAAACATACCAAAATTTTGTCATATTAAGATGACCATGCATTAAGAAGAGAATGAACAAATAAGACTCAAACCACTTTTAGAAAGAAGAGAAAGGCCAGGTATTTTTATATATTGTTATAGAAATTTTCTGACAGATCCATGTGCAAGATTTTTTCTAATATACAAAATAAATACCCTCATAAATGAAGGACTACAGAACAAAACAAATTCTCATGTGATTCTTAGAAAATTCTACAGTAAAAGGTATAATTCTGTTAAATTCCACTTTCTGTGTAAATCCAGACTACTTACATATTACTCGTGAGAACACACACATACACAAATATATTAAGTAATTTTGTGTTATGTTAATAGCTTACAAAGTTATCAATAGTTTAAATATGTATTAATGTATTTTTGAGTCATAAAAAATACAGTTCTGTTATACAAATTCCTATCCTCTCTTTCTCCTATATTTTCTCCTCTATCTCTTTCTTTCATTATTAGAAGAATCAATGGGATATTTACAAACATTCACTGACAAGACTCAGGAACGAACAGGAATTAGGCAGACAAGAAACATGATTCAAAAAAAAAATATGCCAGTGAATTTTGAAAAATGTACTAATAATCTACCAAAGGAGTCCATTACAAAATACATATTTACCACCACATACAGGAGAAAGGTCAGCTACATTACAGTTCCAGACTTTATTTTCCTAAGATATCTGAAATAAGGCAATTGTAGAATACTAGGAACTATACTTCGACTCTAAAACCCTGTATTAAAATGTCATGTTTAGCAGCATAAACTTGGAAAAATTACTTCTCCTTCCAAACTAAAGGATAACTAAGACTGGACAAAACTTGCACGTATACCTCATTCAACTACATAAACATGAGGTGATTGCACAGTTCTTTTTTATGAGATGCATTAAGATCAATTTTAATAAATTTTTATATTACATGTGAATAATACATATAGACTATGACTTAAATTTTTATTTGTATAATAATATAAACAGGAATTTACAAAATCAATATTTTAATAGAACCGTGGTGCAACCCTGGTGTAACCCGCCATAGTTTTAGAAATGTTATGTCCTAGAAACTATGTAAAATAGCATTTTTGTGTTATTAAATTATTTAAAGATATTAAGCTTAAATAGAGTATGAAAATTTAAAATAACTAAATCTGCTTCTTAGTCAATTACCTAACTTTTATAATAAACTTAAGTTTTTCTGGTATTCCTGTATCAGAAAATAAAATAAATTGAACCCAAAGTGAAATATACCCAAAAGCTAGTTGAAAGTTAGTTTTCTCTCTAGCTAATAATTTTTCTAAATGTGAAACATTGTCCCTTAATCCTGCTGCCATTTTGACTATTCATCAGAAAAAATTAAATTTCTAATTTATGACTCTATTCACCAAAATATGTAGGAAGTCCTTTATATTTTCTGTGATATATATCCTAGGAGGCATATGATTTAATTTGTGGTGTAAATTTTGAGATTAATAGAATCCTCTTTTATATTTAAATATTAAAGCATATATTTTCAAACATAATAAAGCTTCTATAATATGTTGTATGTAATAAAGGGGTTTTCCTCCTACCTGTGGAAATAAACTGTTCACTCAGTTAGGTACGTGATTAATGTTATGCATGTGGATTCTTATACCAGCTTCTCAAGCTCTTCAAGTCCTCAGGGAGGTCCATTGAAGAAACACACTAATTCTTTTCTGGGACAGAAAGGTATCAGGAATACTTTTAAAATAGTAAACAGGTGAATGTTTGTGGAGTAATAACTACATGATGAAAATGATTACCTGAAGGAACTTTGGCTTCTGGCTGGAAAAAAAAAAAGTGATCCATCAGTGGAAAAGAAACCTAATGATACAAGATATAGTCCCAACTCTGATGCTAAATAGCTATATGCCAGTAAGATAATAAATTCTCTGATTTCCAGTTTGCTTGTTCTGGTAAGATAACATGCACATTCTCTGGAAATCCAGGAGACATGTGATAAAATAATATGGAAGCGTAACTTATGACAGGATTTACAATCTTTAATAAAGTTTGCTTTCTTAACTTTAAAGTGCTATACTTCTAAGTTGTATGAGAAGCAGATTTAGACTCCTTGAGTGTTCTATTCCTTGAGAAGAGATAAATACGAATACATGAATAGGAAATATTGACAGGAGAGAGGGAATAGTGTACAGATAATAATGTTCTATATAATAGAACCTTAGAATATTAGAGCTCTGGCAGAGATAAAGGTCAAACTTTTTGAGTTGAATTTAGTCTTGTCTTGGGGAATTCTACATACTAATGTATAAGCTACTACCTAGCTATGTACATAAGCAAGTCTTGGGGAAATTATGGAAAAATACATAGATGTCTAGCTGGGCTCCATAGCCAGGGATTGTAAATTGGTAGGTAGGAAATATTGGTTTATGGAATCTGAATGTGAAATATAAAGAAAAGAAAGTTGATACTGGAAGGCAGACTGTGAACTATCCATTAATTAAGATCATGAGCTCATTATAGATTCAGTGCAATTCCAGTTAAAATTAAGTAAGAACTTTTTGTAGACATTGAGAAGTTGATTCTACAATTTATATGTAAAAGTGAAAAGAAAAACTTAAGGGAGTCAAAACAGTTTTGAAAAAGAATAAATTTGGAATGTTTACATAATCTGTGAATACGACTGATTTTAGGACTTTACCACAAAGCTAAAATAGCAAAGATAGTGAGATATTGGGTAAAAAAATACACTTGAATTAATAAAATGGAATAAAATGTTCAGAACCAGATTCACATATATATGGTCAATTGATTTCTGACATAATAAAAGGTAATCTTCGTTGTCTGCTCATCTTTAAAAGTGGGTCACTGAAAAGAATTCTCAGTGTCATTTTACATCACTTCATTCAGATATTGTTTCTGATATCCCCACATCATAAAGTTAGTCTAGACCCTCTCTAAAATATGTCCAAAGCTTGCCACAACATAATATTTCATCCCTTTCTTTGCCTTTGTTTCTCTTCATGGTGTTTATAGTCCCTGATACAAGTTTTCTGTTTCTCCCTAAAATAGGCCCAAAATTAATTATAAATACGTGAACAATTATGCAAATTATTTCCCTATTCTAGTCTCAATATGCTTACCTACAAAGTAAAAAAACCGTTCATTAGATCTACAGTTTCTAATCCGGTTGCCCTTCAAGAATATCTGGAGAATTAAATAAATGTAATAACTTTGTTATGCCTTCTTGGTCTACCAATGTAAATTTATTTAGAGTCTAGGCATGTGTATGTGTTTTGTGTATATTTATGTGTGTGTATCTACGTGTGTATATATGTATGTAAAGATACATATATACACATGCATATGTATATATGCATACCATATGTACATACAAATGTATATACATACATATACATATATATCCACATATATACACATGTATATGCACACATATTTATATATATACACACCTCATATGTATAGGACTGTGTATAAACATAAATACATATATAAACATATGATATAGTAGTACCCCTTGATCCATGGGGGATATATTCCAAGACCTCCAGTGGATACCTGAAACTTCAGATAGTACTAAGGCTTATACAAGCATAGCTCATTTCATTGAAATTTGCTTTATTGATCTTTGCAGATTTTGTGGGATTTTATTCTTTTTTGGAAATTGAAGGTTTATTGGCACCATT